CACGTGTTTTATGTCAGAAAGGAAAATAACGTGGAAGAATGAACAGACACAGACCATATGTCAAAAAGAAATATATTAATTTCCTCTATGAACATTTTAATTTTCCTGGTCTTAATTTGGAAGGTTTTTCTAGTTCAATCAATGCAATATGTAAAATGTTAACAAAACTGACCTAAAAGAAAGAAAGAAAGAATTACTGGATAAACAAGCTTGTGACTATTTACCCATTTGGACTAGATTATAGAGTTAAAAGAAAAAGTAAGGTTAAAATTTCTCAAAATTACAAATTTTCAACTAATCCTTATTTTTCTCAACCTATTAAACGTTATCTATGTAGCCACGATAAAAAACATAGAACTAATAGAATCCTTTAAGCTTAATATAGGAATTACTTCTAATAAATGTCAAACAAAAGCTTTCTGTTCGCTTTACGTGGTATTACGAAGTTTTACAGTAAACAACTTTAGTTTATTCAAACCAATTTTAATTCAAATTCCACATGTGTTTATAATCAATTTAAATTAGCTATAACGTGTTACTTGTCAGCAGTCTTTCCAAGTAAACCCGAAACAAAAGTAAAGTATTTCTCATTGTTCTGTTTATTGACAAAAACATAGATCTTACTAATCTAAAATTTATTACTCAGGATAAGTCACTACAGCAATTACTCACCTGCAACTTGTAATGTTAACTTTCCGAAAGTAAGTTATACCTACCAGAATCATATTTTTTTAATTATAACAGTTTTTGTTTTAAATAACATTAATAATGACGAACAAAATTATTTTCTCTAAGTGTGATTGTTTAAGTTCTTCTTACATTTACACAACTACTCAACATGTCATTACTTGAAACTTTACCATTGCTAAACATGAAGATTTAAGGCTGATGATGAGTAATGGACTTAAATTTTGCAAATATCACTAAAAACGTTCTTATATAATTACTAAACGTCTAATATCAAATTGAAGTAAAGAAAAAGTAAATACTAATAATTTTTCGCGATGGTTCGAACGGGTATAAGAAATATTCAATAAATGATTTTTTTTTTTGCAAAAACGTTACGTCTAATACTTTCACATAAATATTTCTTCAAAAGGATTCAAAAATCTTGAAATTATTTACATGAAATATATTTCATAACATCTACCGAAAAAGCAGCTGATAACTTTGTATATTACTCCACTCTGTAGAGAATTAGATTACAGTCTTCAAACAATGCAACCTTCGGGTAATCCTGTTTATACTTATGTTAAAACCAATGAGAACAACATTATCAAACAACGTAATACAGTTTTAATAGAATTTACAGTTGATAAAATATTAACCATATTTTACATTCCCTAAACTCCACAAGTCACCATACAAATACATATTCATTAATGGATAATGAAGCCATTATAAAAAATACCCATTTTAATAATAAGTAAATCTCTTAAGCGCATTAAAAAAAATATTTAAAGGAATATTTTAGCATTATGAAATGTACATGTATTAATCCATATATAACTATCGAAAATTCCATGGAATGCAAACAGAAGTTAAAATCTTTCACAACTAAATCTACCGAAAGTGGCTCAGCGGTAAGTATGAAAGCTTGTAACGCTAATAATCGGGTTTCGATACCCGTGGTAAGCACAGCACAGATAGCCCATTGTGTATTTTTGCGCTTAACAACAAACAAATCTGATGAGTATACTGGAATAAGGGAACTGCCTGCTGTAAAAACAAAACATAAGTTTAGAGGACGACGTTTCGAAAGTTTTCCGTCTTTGCTCTTCTGAAGACTTTTGAAACATCGTCCTCTACACAAGCTATCAAAGAAAACAAACAAAGCTGTCGAAACAATTTAGTTCAGCAACCTTTACGCCAGCCTACCCTTGCATGTAATCGGCGGAACAATAAGCCTGCAATTAACCAATCTTGAAACAATGCTGATAAATTAATGTTTACATAGGTGATACTAAATGTTAACACTCATCATAAAAATTATCAATTTTTCACAGAACTAATTCATATAAGCCATAATTTCTTGACTTAACAACACCTTTATACGATTCGGCTCACATATCTTTAAACAGACATATGGGACCCTGATGGGTGGTAACTGCAGTCCGCAAGCACGGATTTATTTCTTTTTGGACTTGAATATCAATACCTCACACAACTTCAGAAGAAAGACTCTCATGATATGGAAGGTTTATAGAGAGAGCTAGAACACTAATACAAAAACCCTAGAGTAGAGCTTTTTTTTTTCAACAAATTTCATACAATTTTAAAATTTTGTAGCGAGCACCATTTATCTTTAACCATTTCGCTAGATTACACACTGAAAATTTCGCCACTTTTCATACAATCTTCAATGAAGATAATAGGAAATATGATTTTAGAAGTTAACATAATAACTACAGATTATACATAACTTTTTTTTTATCCTAGTTAGGCATAATCTAACACAAGTCTAAACATTCCACCTTTGGAAGTTGCCATTTTATTCAACTCCAGCATTAGTTACACTGAGTCAATATTTTCCACGGTGTGGTCGTTGACTCAGTATAAACCACATAATTAACATAATTTATATAAACTGTAGGTCACTTTCCTCATCATAAATGTGTACACTCCAACATAAATCTAAGCATTAACCTTTCACATTCTTAAGTTTATTCAAATCCTCTAAAAGTTATATTGAATCGATCGGTTTTGGTCGTTTACTCAATATAGATCACATGATTAACATAGTTGCTATGAGATATAATTAACTTTATTTATCCTAACCCTACATACTTAAACACAAGTCGAGGCATTTATCACATCATAGAGGTTTAAAACTGTACCTGTTATCTCAAATTCTGATACAATTCTATGTTTTTCTTAAACCATTTTCATATTTTAAGAACCTATTTTAACTCAATACGTATTTTAGTTATTTATAGCATTAGATAGATTTAGTATATAACATTAAGCTATTTAAATAGTAATAGCTACATTAACCAAATGCGATAAGCAGAGCAAATGAACTTTTACATGTGAGAATTCTGCTTCGTTGTTGAATAAATTCACTAAGCAAGACTATCTCGTTAGGTATTTTTAGGATAAAAGCCGAAAACACCGCTAAGAATGAGAATACTTAACTGGTGACCTAAGGCAGAGTGGTCATAGAGGCATTTCGTGGTCTGCCTGTCACTCATGATTAGGACTAATTGATATTTATTTTTATCGAATATGTTTAGCAACTTTTCTGGTAGAATGTTACTGAATTAGTGATATCAGAATATAATGTAATAAGAGGAAACAGAAACCATTCCTTCTGATTTATTCTATCTTTTTGTCTGTTGAAAAAACGTGTCGTTTTCCTGTAGTGGGTTGACAAAGCTTGTTATATTGGAAAGAACGAGACAGTGCAACAAGCAGCAGCTGTACCTCTCGTTAGGGACAGGCGGTTAGCCACGATACTGTGTTGGTAAACGTGAAAGAAGACTCTCCAACAATCGATCGAACATATGTAACCAATTAACGGTTGACACTTCTAAACTTTACGGAATATGTACTTGAATGGTGTAGTCTCGAGTAGTTAAGAAAAGATAATTTTCCCTCTAAAATACTAATTAATTTGTGTGCTTCAACAAAACGAGCTCCTTCAAAGAACTAATGCAGATTTTTAGAATGAAATTTACTTTTCATTCCCAAACAATTTCTCCTTCAGGAACAGCCAAACAAAAATTGTATTTAATTTATTTTAGATGGGCAAAAAACATCTATAATTTCTAGAAGAATGAAATTATTCAAATTCGTTTTGGGTCCTTGCTGACGAAGACAAGAGAAGCTTATTTACTGATATTTACGTAATCAATTTCATAAAGTATGCGAAAGTTACACAAATATTTTGTAAAAACTAAAACGACATGAGTACGAGGATACAAAAAAGCCTATATAGTAACTACAGTGTCTTAGAAAGTCTTAGATAAAAGCTGCTAATTTTTTTCTAAGTACTTAAAAAAATTATTATGAGATGCGTACTTAATTTCAATTCAAATTCTTTAAAGCCTTGTCAAAATATTCTAGAGTAGAAAGTTTTTTTTTATCAACCCTTAGAACCGCTTCTAAAATACCAATTTCTAATAACTTTTATTTTTAAGATTGAGATAACAAAATCAAAACTGAACATTAGTCTTCACATCTTTCGTATTTTAATTTGCGCTCTTTACATTCAATAAAAAAAGAACATTAGAGAATACCAATTAACGAAAAGAACGTGAGTTTGCTCAAACTAATCAAGTAATTCAGAGTTACTCGAACAAGCGTTTTTTTTCGTTTGTTTCATATAGCTTAATCGATAGCTAAGTTTGTTTTATTTAAGAATTGTGCTTAGAAATTCAAAGACTAGAAAGAAAAGTTCCAAAGTTATACATGGGCGCTTAGATGTAATATGGTTTTCTTAAATATTCTGTTCTATGTACTTTAGTCACCTTGAATAGTAAATCTTGAAACAAAACTGCACTTAACCCTAAATTCTACTGCCGAATATTATCAAGCAAACATTTTCGTTCAATATTTAAAAAAAGCATATTTGTTTTATCTCTGTTATTGTTTTAGGGCAAAATTAAGTATTTTTTACATGTTCAAATAATTTCACGAAAACCAAGAATTCATTATCCAGCATTATGCACCAGTACTACGGTGCAGCTCCTTGAAAAAAGATACATAACTGAAACTCTGATAACAAAGTTTTGTTTTAGGACTAAGATCATAAAGTTATATATGAACATGAACAAAGCAGAATAGTTGTCACATAATCTACAAATTCACACATCACAGTATTGAGTGATTTAAATGACTGACTGTACGTTCATTCCTCAACCAATTGTTTGCATAAATGTATCATCTTCTGAATTGGGTCATTCTTAAGCTAGTTAATAAACTAACTCGAGATTAATAGTAATAATATGTGATGGACAAAGAAAAAATGCGAATTCTTCCCCTATCTGCCGATTCCTTACCTTTTTCCTTCCCCTCAGAAGGCTAGCTACTTCCAGACCGTGACATTCGTCCAGTTCGTGATGATCCAGTTTCAACTTTTCAATTTCTCTCACTGCAAACTTCAGTAAAGCATCTAGTTTGGCTTGATCAATATTTTGTACGTCGTATTGCTTGATCGAATTTTGTTTACTAAACGCATCACATCCCCTGCTGGTTAATAGTAACGCTAGCACCAAAGCAAACATAGTCACTATATAATCTCGAGTCAGGTAAATTAAGGTAGTCACGCGTGCGAGGCTTAAAGCTGTTTAGTACCGCGTGCGCTTGGAGTTTTGAAATGCACGTCAAGTCCTTCAGCATTATAGCCGAGCGTCATAACAAAAGATTTCCCGCTAGGTGGCGCGATAATCGAACCGGGCTTGTCCTCCACGTAAAGTAAAAAGATATATATATATATACTGGCTCCATTCTTGTCTTTCTGATACGATAACTGATATCGAAATACAAGCGTAATGGATGTTTTTAGAGAAAGCCTATCGATATGAGAGCTTAGAATACAACAAGTCTCTCTTAAATTCATGAATTCTTTAGGACAACATAAAATGTCGGCATTCTATAACATAGCTAGATTTATCCTTATACTGCATGGTTTCTTGTTACTGAAGAAATCCGACAGATTACCTCTATAAAGTTAGAGACTCATATTGATTGTATTATGTTTTATTATAATCAAATGTATAAACTTCTGAAAATAACTTTCTTGGTTATGTTTCAAAACGTTACTATTTTCTTCGTTTGTTGAAGTTTGTTGAAATTAAGCACAATGCTACACAATGGGCTATCTGTGCTCTGCCCACCACGGGTATCGAAACCCGGTTTCTAGCGTTGTAAGTCTGCAGACATACCGCTGTGCCACTGGGGGGGGGGAGTTATCTAACAGAAAAATTAACACAGGTTTGTTTTGAATCCCGCGCATAGCTACATGAAGGCTATCTACGCTAGTCGTCCCTGATTTAGCAGTATAAGACTAGAGGAAAGGAAGATAGTCATCACCGCCCACCGCCAACTCTTTTTTACCAACGAGTGGTGGGATTGACCGTCACCTTATGACGCCCTACGGCTGAAAGGCCGATCATGTTTGGCAAGACGGGGATTTGAACCCGCAACCCTCAGATTGCGAGTAAGGCGCCCTAACCACCTGACTTCACAATACATTAAACTTATATTCCTGTACGTTTTTATGAAACATCTGACTAGTTAAAACCAGTTTTCTTGCAACCAATGAAGGGCTTACTAGACAATGGCCTGTAGGAGATAAAAGATGGACATGATATTATATTTTATACACATTTAATATGAAATATGTGATGAAGAAATTACGAGGAATGCGGAAAAAAATCTGCAATCTGAAATTTTTTTTATCGCAAATATTTGTCCAATTGGTTTCCAAGGCTCCATCTGCTCTCAACGCTGAAATCGTAGATAAAAAAATAAAAAACGCGTCATCGACAATGGCTGTGGCGAACACACTGTGGTAGAAACACTATTATTAATATACACTCTTCTCGAGATTGGAAACCTCCAATCTCTATTAGAAAATATAATAAGTGTAACAGTAATATTTGAAGACAATTATAATCATGCTTCGCCATCTTGAAAAAGATGTTAACATAACAATTCTTAAACATCATATCTCTCATACAGTTAAAACATTGTTGCACATTTTTTTTATCATGAGCTTCGTACATCATTGTTTAAACGTATTACTTAAGTATTGTCGCTCACATCTTTAAACGGCATCTTTAGCGACGGTCAAGCCAGAGACCTCTCACCTTACCAGAGAGAACTCAGAGGGTCAGCAGCGTCACAAGGTGTGAACCGAATATTTACATTGAATAAACGGACCCATAACTTAAAGTGGGAAGCTACTTCATTGGCATTACGTCTCGAACCTTGAATTCTTCGATCTGTGGCCCTGTAGGCTATCTACTAGGACACATTTGCTTCAATTATGTTAACCCTTGAATGCCTAACTTAGGTATCGTTATTTAGCTCTTTAAAGATAAGGCTTAAGTATCTCTCTTTTTTTTTTTACTAGCTCAGTACTCTCTTTCCTTCTTTCTTATCATTATAAATACACCAGCATTGCTTTTAACAGGATAATTTAACCTTTCCTGGTATTTTACATCATTTTGTAACATTTATTGCGTTTTTATTACTTCTTGATGATATTGTAGTACTGTTCTATTTTATCTTATGAATCTATACCAAATTAACGAAGTTTTCTTTTCTCTCTCTCTCGTTTGTGCTATTACGTTATCTTTTTTTTTTCTTTTCTTCATTTACTATTTTTTTTCTCTCTCTCTCTCTTCTTCAACTACATTTCTTGAATATCTTTCTGGATTAATGTGTAACTTCAAGTAACTGATCCGCGTCGGTAAATGACCAAAGTCACGCTGTTTTAACTTGGTTTAAATATTTAGGATGACGAATCTTTCACAATACCATATAAGGCACTTTTCAGAGTGTGTTGGGAAAAAAAAAGTACAGATTCTTTTCTTTGGATTTTTAAATTTATTACCAAGTTATCTTTCAAAGGTTCTTTATGATGTTAAGTAACTTCAATTCCACATAACAAGAAATGCCGGTTAAATACTTCAAGAGATGTAGATAATAACAGTATTTTTTGAGAGCTTATTAAAATTTGATGACATTTATTATCAAATAATTGTTAGAGTGCTACATTATGCATTCTTACTTTATAAGAAAACCTTTTTCGTCCAGCTTGACATAAATTGGCATATTTCTATTTTTGTAAAATTTTTACTGCATTAAAAGCCTATGTCATTAATCAAACAAACAAATAAATCATTTTCAGTATTTACAAAAATGATTCATGGATCAGCAGTAGTGTCCTTGTAAATACTGAGGGACACTACTGCTGATCCATGAATCATTTCTCAGTATTTACAAGGACACTACTGCTGATCCATGAATCATTTCTCAGTATTTACAAGGACACTACTACTGATCCATGAATACTGTTTCGAGCTATAAGTGAGTGTCTACTGGAAACATAAAATATATTATTTGATAAATTTAAATAAGACAGCAAAGGAACTCAAGGAATTAGACATAGCTTACAAAATTAGCAAATATTTTCTTCAACTGAGTTTAGTGAAAAATGGGGTTACATATTTTTTACATTCTTTATATACATTTCCACCTAATTCAATACCATTATTTACCATTTGTAACTCTCTCTAGATTTGCCCCCCCCCCCAGTGGTACAGTGGTATGTCTGCGGACTTAACGCTAGAATCCGGGTTTCGATACCCGTGGTGGGCAGAGCACAGAGAGCCCATTATATAGCTTTGTGCTTAATTATAAACAGACAAACAAAACTCTCTAAATTTATTAATTCCTTTCAGACCTTCATCTTCTTATCTTCTTTTATTACATTATACCCACACACTTCATTGCATATTTTTCTGTATATCCTCTTCCAAATCTATTCATCTTCTTTCTTTCCTCTTCAGTCTATTCGTATTCTTCCTTTTGCACATCTTTACACTACCATATCTATTCCATCGTCTCTTCATTTTCTTTTATCTTTTTCATCTTTTTTTTGCTTCTCCGTTTTTTCTGTCCACTATTACAGCTCCCGCATCTTAATCATTTTGTCCACAATTTAAAATGTTTTTTTTTATCATTATTTCAAGTTTTTTCAAAAAATATTTTGGCACGTGTGTAATGTTCAATCTTAAAAACTCAAAATTTAAAAAAAAATCTATTGAGATAATTAAATGTAATAAAAAAGAAGTAAATTTATATTATTGAATAAGAATGATGGACCTGATGGTAATGTTGTCAGTAGATGGCGTGAAATTCTTTAATATGTATGTAAATTGGTGTTTCGATAATTGTATAAATCAGTGTTATTTCTTGCAAAACATTACCCTCCCGAGGATGACGCAATAGTATACGTCGAAACATGTAGAGTGTATGAGATTGTTTTCCAGTTTCATTGGGGTTTTTTACCACTGTTTATACTGTACAGTAAGTTATTATATTTTAGTAATTTGGAGACTGGAAACAATCTCATTTTTTATAGAATTGTTTATAAAATAACCTTTGCTTTTTAAAATTTTGAGTTTTTAAGATTATTTCACGTGTTACATCATTCCAACTTCTTCTTCTTTTATCATTTTATAATATATACAAAAAGTGGATTTTTTTTTACTGCACTCCGATTCTTCTGGATATTCTCTTCTATCTTTATCTTCGTTGCTTCTTTCATTTTTATCTGTATAGTGATATATCTGTATTTTGTATTTAATTGTAAAGCTATCTATCACCGTCCCTAAATTTGAGCTACTGACCAGAGAGAATGCACTCACTTCAAAGTGGCTTTTCATTTGCCATCCACGCTAAAGGACTGACTGTCACTCTTATAATGCACCCACAGCTTAAAGTTCTGGGAATATTCTATTGTATCGCACGGTTTCAAACTCGGGTTGAACTCCACATCTCTACTACAGAACCAATTTTCGCCCATTTTATACTACGCCCTTTAAGAATGTTTCTTTTTTTTCTGTTCTTCCAATATCTTTCAATACTCGTTTTTATCTCCAATGTCCATCTATTCTCCTTGACATTTTGAGTTCCTTTTATTATCTCTATTATACTCTCTCGGCCATCTTTTAAGCTTCGTTTTTATTACTTCTGGGCTTGCCATGCCCTGGTGGCTAAGGCGCCCGACTCGCAATCCGAAGGTCGCACGCTTGAATCCACGTCACCGAACATGTTCACCCTTTCAGCCATGAGAGCGTTATAATGTTACAGTCAATCCCACTATTCGTTAGTAAAAGAGTAACCCAAGAGTTGGCGGTGTGTGGTGTTGACTAGATGACTTTCCTCTAGTCTATCACTGCTAACGCAGATAGCCCTCGTGTAGCTTTACCATTATCCCCAAACTCTCTTCATATATGCCCCTTAGTGGCACAGGGGTAAGTCTGTAGGCTTATAACGCTAAAATCCGGATTTCGAAAACCATGGTGGGCAGACTACAAATAGCCCATTGTGTAGCTTTGCGCTTAGCAACAAACAAAGGAACTATTCATACATACGTTTTATTTCCATATCCAGTCTTCCCGTTTCTAACTGCCATACAAAACTCAGTGTATTTATATTCTAGTATTATTTCATTTATCGTTCTCTTCAACTTCATTTCTTTATTCTATTCAGTTACTTCTACCACGAACATTATAACTAACTTATCAAAGAACTGGTATTTCTGATTAATATCATTCCTTGTACTTCTCTTTGTTATACTTCAAGCTTTCT